CAGATACTCCAGATTTAATCCCATTTATTTCCCCCCACCGAAACTTCCCTACCCCTTCAGCTTTGTTTCGTTAGGGCCAGGACATCCAACTTCTTTTCATTCATAACATCAGCAATCATCTGTTTCTTGTCATCCGCACTACATCCACGCACATTCAAGCATCCCAGTTTTATAAAGTTTTTCTTCTTCTCTTTTTTAGTAAATGTCTACAGGAGAAGGGGTTACCAGCCCATTGCTCCCGGCATTTTAGTCGCCTCATACGACACGCATGGCTTACGGAGGAAAGATTCTTTTCCACTTCCCCATGGACAATAGAAGAAATAAAGGAGACCAAGAGCTATTTAGAAAAAGGAGAAAAACCTAGATGTATGTATATATATATGCATGTGTGTGTCTGTGAAGTGTGACCAAAGTGTAAGTAGGAGTAGCAAGATATCCCTGTTATCTAGCATGTTTATGAGACAGAAAAAGAAACCAGCAATCCTACCATCATGCAAAACAGTTACAGGTTTCTGTTTCACAGTCATCTGGCAGGACGGTAGTACTTCCCTGGGTGGTTGCTGTCTACCAACCTACTACCTACACCAACCTACTACCTACCTCATCTATGTCATTTATGTAAATTGTGAACAACATTGGGCCCAACACTGACCCCTGCGGAACACAGTTTGTGACGTGCCCCCATTCTGATTTTTCCCCATTTATGCAAACTCTCTGCTGCCTAGTATTTGTCAGCCATGCTTCTACCCAGGAAAAAATTTCTCCTCCTATTCTGTGTGCCTTAAGTTTCCTCAATAGCCTCTGATGTGGAACTCTATCAAAAGCCTTACTGAAGTCCATATACACAATATCATATTCATTACCATGATCTACCTCCTCAAACACCCCTTTGTAAAGCCGTGTTGAGATTCATTAATCAATTTATGCCTATCAAGATGGCTACGAATTGCTTCTGCAGTTATTGATTCCATAAATTTTCCCACTATGGAGGTAAGGCTTATTGGTCTATAGTTTGAAGCTAAGGACCTGTCACCTGCCTTGTAAATAGGTATTACATTTGCCATTTTCCACTTATCAGGCACTATGCCAGTTTGTAGTGATATGTTGAAAAGATTAGCCAAAGGTTTGCTAAGTTCTTCCTTACATTCCTTTAACACCCTTACAAACTGTTCATCAGGGCCTAGAGAGACAGCCAAAGTCAGTCACCCAGCTAGCCAGTCACCCAGCTAGCCAGCCACCCAGCCAGCCACCCAGCCAGCCAACCAGCTGGGCCACCCAGCCGACTGGCCAGCCTGCCAAATACACGTACATAAGACATTCAGGCAGGATGACACTACCAGTGGTATAAGAAATGAGAGGATGTTGCACATGGGTTATCATCAATCACTTGTGGCTACATCCCTCTCAATGTCACTAAACTCTGGGTCAACATCACTTTTCCCTTAAAAGGGGAGTGTTAATACAACATGATATCAGTGAATCCCTGGTGTTTGCCATGCTATTTGCTGGCACTCAATTAAACTGGTGCTCCCACAAGGTACTAAGTGGTCCCATATTTTTTTAATACTGTGCACACCGAGTGTTAAGACCCATTCTATACTGACCAGGCATCTCAGGCCAATCATGCCAATTTGGAGGTAGGAAAAATGAAACGCTGATCTACATTTGGAGCACCAGCGGTACAAATGTGCAGTGGACCCTAGGGAAAAGGCATCATCGGTTTGCACCAAAATCAGATAACGGCTCGCTTTGGCATAAAAATATTGGCTCAGCTAATGCCCAATAATTCGGTTATGGGCTTTCATCCCGAACGTGTCTGCGCGGCCTGAGCGGGCCCAGCCACTCCATAACTCTGTGTACAGCAAGTGTGCCATTGTTTACAAGCCAGTGAGGATGATTATTCCATTGTTTTTAGTGCTTGTAGCTGCTAAATAAGACACCATGGGCCCGAAGAAAGCTTCTAGTGCCAACCCTGTGGTAAAAAGGGTGAGAAATACTACTGAATTAAAGAAAGAGATAATCACAAAGTACGAGAGTGGAGTGCATATCTCGGAGTTGGAAAGGTCATATAACAAACTCCATTCAACCATCACTACTATCTTGGCCAACAAAAAGGCAATCAAGGAAGCTGCTGTTGCGAAAGGCGCAAGTATGCTTACAAAACAGAGATCGCAAATAATCAAAGATGTGGAGAGATTGTTGTTGGAGTGGATAAATGAGAAAGAATTATCAGGAGATAGTTTCTCAGTCAATAATATGTGGAAAGGCAAGGCAGTTGCATGATGATCTCATTAAGAAAATGCCTCCAAATAGTGCTGCTACTGATGAATTTAAGGCCAGCAAAGGCTGGTTTGAGAGATTTAAAAATCGTAGTGGCATATACAGCGTGATAAGGCATGGTGAGGCTGCCAGTTTGGACAAAAAAGCGGCAGAAAAATATGTGCAGGACTTTAAGGAGTACATAGACACTGAAAAATTCAAACCCCAACAAGTGCTCAATTGTGACGAAACAGGCCTGTTTTGGAAGAAAATGCCAAACAGGACCTACATTACTCAGGAGGAAAAGGCACTCCCAGGACACACGCCTATGAAAGACAGGCTAACTCTAATGTTTTGTAGTAATGCTAGTGGGGACTGCAAAGTGAAGCCTTTACTCATGTATCACTCTGAAACTCCCAGTGTGTTCAAGAAAAACAATGTCATCAAGACTATAAATTGTGTGCGTGATGTGGAGAGCAAATGGTAAGGCATGGGTCACTAGGGACATTTTCTTTGACTGGTTCTATGACATGTTTGGCCCCACTGTGAAAAAGTACCTCCTGGAAAATAAACTGTCACTCAAGTGCCTCCTGGTAATGGACAATGCTCCTGCTCATCCTCACGACTTGCAAGAGCAAATTGCGGGAGAGTTGAGCTTTATCAAAGTGAAGTTTTTGCCTCCAAATATCAATCCTCTCCTCCAGCCCATGGACCAGCAGGTAATTTCAAACTTCAAAAAACTGTACACCAAAGAAGTGTTTCAAAAGTGCTTTGAAGTGACCTCCGACACTGAACTGACCCTAAGAGAGTTCTGGAAAGATCACTTCAGTATCCTCAGTTGCATAAACCTTATATGTAAGGCTTGGGAGGGAGTGACTTGCAGGACTTTGAACTCTGCTTGGAGAAAATTGTGGTCACAATGTGTACAAGAGAGGGATTTTCAAGGGTTTGGGGCTAACCCTCAGGAGACTATACCAGTTGTGGAATCTACTGTGGCATTAGGGAAGTCCATGGGGTTGGAGGTTAGTGGCGAGAATGTGGAAGCGTTGGTGGAGGATGACCACTACAGAGCTGCAAGAGCTTCAGGTGCAACAGAAACAGATCACAGCTCAGGAATTTGCTTCAGAGGAGGAGGAAAAGAGACGGAGGAAGTTGCCTTCGTCAAAGATTAAGGATATGTGTACAATGTGGACAAAGGTGCAAGCATTTATGGATGAATATTATCCTGAAACAGCTGTTGCAAGCTGTAGTGGCAACATGTACAATGACACTCTTGTGTCCAATTTTAGGGAAATCTTAAAAGGACGCAAGAAACAGAGCTTTCTGGACAGATATTTTGTGCGACAGGGGTCAAGTGACTCTCAAGCTGGTCATAGTGGCATTAAAAAACAAAGAAGGGAGGTAACCCCAGAAAAGAACTTAGTACCTGAAGTCTTTATGGAAGGGGATTCCCCTTCCAAACAATAGAACACCTTCATCCTGTCCCTTCCTCCCGTCTCATCACTCATCAACAAGTCCACAATAAAGGTAAGTGTCATTTCAGTATTGTTTACTGTGCATGTATCATTGTTTTCTGTGTAGGGAAATGTATATTTCATGTAAAAAAAAATTATTTTGTTTAATACTTTTGGGTGTCTGGAACAGATTAATTGGATTTCCATTATTTTTTATGGGGAAAATTAATTTGGCTAAAGGCTAAATTGGTTAAAGGTTAGCTCTCTGGAACAGATTAATGGCGTTACCCGAGGGTCCACTGTAGATCTATGTTCGGGCAGCTTAAGAGTTAAGACTACAAGTATTTTAAGGTAAATAATGAGTGTACTATATATGCATTTTATTGCTCTAGGATGCTTTAAATGTCATAGTATATTATGTGTGGGTGGGGTGGCCAGATGGGCTACCATACCTACCACACGTGACTCTACAAATAAATACTATTCACCTCTCACCCTATATTAAGACCATTAAGACTACAAATATTTTAAGGTAAGTAATGAGTGTACACTAAATGCATTTTATCGCTATGGGGTGCTTTAAATTTTGTAGTATATTACATGTGGGTGGGGTGGGCAGGTGGGCTACCACACCTGACTTCTTACAATAAACACTACTCACCTCTCACCCTACATTAAGACTACGAATATTTTGAGATTAATAATGAGTGTACTGTGTGTGTATTTTACTTTTTATTGTTTTTTGATGCCTAATTCTATTGCTAACTTAATATATGTTAATGTAAACTTATTATCTGGCATTTATATAAATTTATAAGTGGTAAAAACAGTGTACTCCTTTCCGGCGATGTGCTCTTTCCGGCGGTAGCCTGGAACTCAAGCTGCCATATAAGTGGGCCCTACTGTATATAGATCATATTCATCAGTCATTTTTATGATATAAAAACAAATGAACTCACTAGAATTCTAAATAACTGTACCACCACCCTTCTTGTTAAACCTACATTTATGAACAGCTGTGTACCCAGGTATCTTCAGTACATTGGTGATCCATCCAGGACACCATCAAAGATTGTCCTAAGTTTCCTTTGAGACTTTTATTCTTCACATCCAAACCTATGTCAATATTGTACCAGAATTTACCCAAACTCCTTATATAAATCACCACTCACATCCTCTGAATTTGAACTCTATAATGAAATCAATTAAAATTATATAAGTAATGAAGGTGAAATAACTTAAATGTGGTTGTTAAGGATAGTAAGACAAACATGGTAAATGGCTTACCGCTCCACAAGTCACAATTCGGTTAGTGTTGGGAGCCCAGTCAATCCCTGTGACACGTAGGTCATGGCCCTGAAGTGTTTCCTGCAGCTTCCACTCCGATCCACACTGACCATATATATTCACCTCATTGTTGTTGAGGCTCAGTGCCACTTCTGAAATATAAAAACAAAACAAGTCAAACTAAAACAAAGAATGATGGGACTTTTAAGCCCATCCCAAAGTAAGTTACAATTAGGAATGAATTAAAATTAAGAAGATTTAGCATGATGGGAAATATTACCCACAGTCTTCCCTCCCAGGATTGTCAAGCATCTTTTTCCAACCTTTCACAAACTACACTGACATTAATGAGAAACTTTTCAGAGCAAATCACTTACAATTAATGTCTATCAACTGCGTTTCGTTTTTCAACTGCATTCTTGGGGTTTGTGTTAATCAAGGGTTTGCTGTATAGTAATTCCGAAAGGTATACAATAGTCAACAAATTAGGCAACATATATTACAGGCTTTGTGGAAAGCCCCTGTAAGGTAGAGAATTTCAGACAGATTAACACAGAAATTGTACAATTGAAGTTGAAGTTACAGTGGTCCCTCAATAATTGTCCGGCTCGATAGTTGTCCTTTTTGGAAATCGTCGCGTTATTTCCATCAAAACATTGGCTCACAAATGGTCGGTTGACTCGCTACTCGTCCTTCATCCAGGACGCGTACTCACGCTCTGAGCTGCCTCGGCCTCCCTTCCCAGCCAGTGTGCCATTGTTTACCAGTGAGCGACAGTCCCCTCACTTGTTCATATGAAATATTTCATAATACAGTGGACCCCCACATACCGTCGGCATCACATAACGTTTAATCCGCATACCGCTCGCTTTCATCGCAAAAATTTTGCCTCGCATACCGCTCAAAAACCCGCTCAATGCTGTTCGTCCGAGACGCGTCCAATGTGCGCCCTTAGCCAGCCTCATGTGCCGCCGGTGGCATTGTTTACCAGCCAGCCTCCACGGTAACATCCAAGCATACAATCGGAACATTTCATATTATTACAGTGTTTTTGGTGATTTTATCTGCAAAATAAGTGACCATGGGCCCCAAGAAAGCTTCTAGTGCCAACCCTACAGCAATAAGGGTGAGAATTACTATAGAGATGAAGAAAAAGATCATTGATAAGTATGAAAGTGGAGTGCGTGTCTCCGAGCTGGCCAGGTTGTATAATAAACCCCAATCAACCATCGCTACTATTGGTGGTACAGCTGCTGCTGCTGCTGTACCACCATCAGCTGCTGCACTGTCAGCTGCTGCACTGTCAGCTGCTGCTGCTGCTGTAGCACCGTCAGCTGCTGCTGCTGTTGTACCACCGTCAGCTGCTGCTGCTGCTGCTGTAGTACCGTCTGCTGTGCTGTAGTACCGTCTGCTGCTGCTGTAGCATCGTCTGCTGCTGCTGTAGCACTGTCAGCTGCTGCTGCTGCTGTACCACCGTCAGCTGCTGCTGTAGTACCGTCTGCTGCTGCTGTAGCATCGTCTGCTGCTGCTGTAGCACTGTCAGCTGCTGCTGCTGCTGCTGTAGCACCGTTGTTGGTGTGGCTTATTGAGAATACCAAGAAACAATTAACCCCAGAGGATTTGCCACCCAGGATAACCCAAAAAAGTCAGTGTCATCGAAGACTGTCTAACTTATTTCCATTGGGGTCCTTAATCTTGTCTCCCAGGATGCAACCCACATCAGTCGACTAACACCCAGGTGAACAGGGAAAAATGCCTGGAACTAGTGCTCATATTGGTGAATTTAAAGCCAGCAAACGTTGGTTTGAGAGATTTAAGAATCGTAGTGGCATACACATTGTGATAAGGCCTGTTCTGGAAGAAAATGCCAAACAGGACCTACAGTACTCAGGAGGAAAAGGCACTCCCAGGACACAGTGTCTCATCAGTCATTGCTGCATCTTCAATAAAGGTAAGTGTCATTTATTCTTCATTTAGTAGAGTAGTACATGCACAATATATATTGTGCATGTACTACTCTACTATTGTGCATGTATCCTTCTCTTTGTGTGTAGGAAAATGTATATTTCATGTGGTAAAAAATTTTTTTTCATACTTTTGGGTGTCTTGCACGGATTAATTTGATTTCCATTATTTCTTATGGGGAAAATTCATTCGCATACCGATCATTTCGCATACCAATGAGCCCTCTTGTACGGATTAAAGTCGCTATGCGGGGGTCCACTGTACATGTATTCCATTCATTTTAGTGCTTGCAAGTGCTAAATAAGCTACCATGGCTCCAAAGAAAGCTCCTAGTGCCAAGCCTGCGGTAAAGAAAGTGAGAAATACGATTGAATTTAAAAAAAACATCACTGAACAATATGAAAGTGGCGTACGTGAGGCCGAACTAGCCAGGACGTATAACAAATCCCGTACAACCATATCTTCCATCGTGGCCAAGAAAAAGAAAATCAAGGAAGCTGTTGTTGCAAAGGGGGTAAATATATTGACAGTTGCAGGACCGGGCTTGATAAAGAAATTGCCTGCAACAAGTACTGATAATTGTGAATTTAAGGCCAGCAAAGGTTGGTTTGAGAGATTTAAGAAGTGTAGTGGCATACACAGTGTGATAAGGCATGGTGAGGCTGCCAGTTTGGACAAAATTGCAGCTACAAAATTCATAAGTGAATTCAAGGAGGACATAAGAGGCTGAAGGACTGAAACCTGAACAAGTGTTCAATTGTGACAAAACAGGCCTCTTTTGGAAGAAAATGCCAAAGAGGACCTACATTACTCAGGAGGAAAAGGGACTGCCAGGACACAAGCCTATGACAGACAGGCTGACACTCATGTTCTGTGCTAATGCTAGCGGGGATTTCAAAGTGAAGCCGTTACTAGTGTACCATTCTGAAAATCCCAGTGTGTTCAGGAAAAACAATGTTATGAAGAGTAAATTGTGTGTGTTTTGGAGATCTAATAATAAGGCATGGGTCACGAGGGAAATTTTCGTCGAGTGGTTCAATGAAGTGTTTGGCCCTAGTGTGAAGAATTACCTCCTGGAAAAAACATAGGATCTCAAGTGCCTTCTAGTAATGGACAATGCACCTGCTCATCCTCTAAACTTGGATGACCTAATTCTGCAGGAGTTTGGGTTAATCACAGTAAAGTTCTTGCCCCCAAATACCACTCCTCTCCTCCAGCCCATGGACCAGCAGGTCATTTCAAACTTTAAAATTCTACACCAAAGCAATGTTTCAAAGGTGCTTTAATGTGACCTCAGACACTTACTTGACTCTAAGAGATTTTTGGAAAGAACACTTCAGTATCCTCCACTGCATAAGCCTTATAGGTAAGGCTTGAGAGGGAGTGACTATCAGGACTTTGAACTCTGCTTCGAGAAAACTGTGGCCAGTGTGTGTCCACAAGAGGGATTTTGAAGGGTTTGTGGTTGACCCTGATGAGCCTATGTCAGTTGTGAACTCTATTGTGGCACTGGGGAGTTCCATGGGGTTGGATGTGAGTTTGGAGGATGTGGAAGAGTTGGTGGAGGACCACAACGAGGAGCTAACCACTGAGGAGCTGCAAGAGCTTCAGCAGGAACAGGAACAGATCGCAGCTCAGAATCTTGCTGCAGAGTTGGAGGAAGAGAGATAGGAGAAGGTGCCTTCTTCAGAAATTAAGGAGATTTTTGAAATGTGGGGTAGGATGGAAAGATTTATGGAGAAAGATCACCCTGAGAAGGATGTTGCAAGCCATATCGGCAACTTGTACAGTGACAGAGTCTTGGCCCATTTTAGGGAAGTTTTAAAGAGATGCCAGAAACAGAGCTCTCTGGACACTTTTTTTGTGAGACAGGACTCCAGTGACTCTCAAGCTGGTCCTAGTGGCATTAAGAAACAGAGAAGAGAAGCAACCTCAGAAAAGCACTTGGTACCTGAGGTGTTGATGGAAGGGGATTCCCCTTCCAAACAGTAACTAATCCAATCTCTCTCCTCCTCCAGTCTTCCAGACACTAAGAAGAATCACCAATAAAGGTAAGTGCTATGCTGTTAATGTTTCATTCATCATGTCCCATTGTATTGTTTATGCACTACATCTATATTTCATGTAAAAAATATTTTTGTTTTAATACTTCTGGGTGTCAGGAACGGATTTGTTGTATTTACATTATTTCTTATGGGGAAAATTTATTCAAAAATCGTCTATTTCGATAATCGTCGCACTTCCAAGAATGGATTAACGACGATAAATGAGGGACCACTGTATTTGAAAGCCTAGTTTAATAAGTTACTATAAAGATATGTGTATTGCCTAATAGATCTATGGCAAACTACTTATTCAGTCCAAATTAGCATTCATACTCATGCCCTTATTTTTTTTTTTTTTTCAACAAGTCGGCCGTCTCCCACCGAGGCAGGGTGACCCAAAAAATTAAGAAAATCCCCAAAAAGAAAATACTTTCATCATCATTCAACACTTTCACCACACTCACAAATTATCACTGTTTTTGCAGAGGTGCTCAGAATACAACAGTTTAGAAGCATATACAGTGGACCCCCGCATACCGTTGGCATCACATAACGTTAAATCAGCATACCGCTACATTTTATCGCCAAGATTTTGCCTCGCATACCGCTAAAAAACCCGCTCAACGCTGTTCGTCTGAGACGCATCTAATGTGCGCCCTTAGCCAGCCTCACATGTTCCGCCGGTGGCATTGTTTACCAGCCAGCCTCCGCGGTAACATCCAAGCATACAATCGGAACATTTCGTATTATTACAGTGTTTCTGGTGATTTTATCTGCAAAATAAGTGACCATGGGCCCCAAGAAAGCTTCTAGTGCCAACCCTACAGCAATAAGGGTGAGAATTACTATAGAGATGAAGAAAGAGATCATTGAAAAGTATGAAAGTGGAGTGCGTGTCTCCGAGCTGGCCAGGTTGTATAGTAAACCCCAATCAACCATCGCTACTATTGTGGGCAACAAAAAGGCAATCAAGGAAGCTGTTCTTGCCAAAGGTTTAACTGTGTTTTCCGAAACAGAGATCGCAAGTGATGGAAGATGTTGAGAGACTCTTATTGGTGTGGATAAATGAGAAACAGATAGCAGGAGATAGCATCTCTCAAGTGATCATAAGTGAAAAGGCTAGGAAGTTGCATGAGGATTTA